AGATGCAGAATTACCCATATGATTACAGGCAAGGAACACTATCCTTGAAGGACAAACAATGACCCCATTCAGGTACTGAACAAATATGCTAGAATAGCATGCTTACAACTGAAACCTGCCAGGACCTATCACCACCATTTGGATCACTTCTGAACAGTCAGAATATTGCATTGGGACAACATTTTGGGTTTTTTTTTTTTCATTTTCCTTTTATTATTCATATGTGCATACAAGGCTTGGTTCATTTCTCCCCCCTGCCCCCACCCCCTCCCTTACTACCCACTCCGCCCCCTCCCTCTCCCCCCCCTCAATACCCAGCAGAAACTATTTTGCCCTTATTTCTAATTTTGTTGTAGAGAGAGTATAAGCAATAATAGGAAGGAACAAGGGTTTTTGCTGGTTGAGATAAGGATAGCTACATAGGGAGTTGACTCACATTGATTTCCTGTGCGTGGGTGTTACCTTCTAGGTTAATTCTTTTTGATCTAACCTTTTCTCTAGTACCTGTTCCCCTTTTCCTATTGGCCTCAGTTGCTTTAAGGTATCTGCTTTAGTTTCTCTGCGTTAAGGGCAACAAATGCTAGCTAGTTTTTTAGGTGTCTTACCTATCCTCACCCCTCCCTTGTGTGCTCTTGCTTTTATCATGTGCTCAAAGTCCAATCCCCTTGTTGTGTTTGCCCTTGATCTAATGTCCGCATATGAGGGAGAACATACGATTTTTGGTCTTTTGGGCCAGGCTAACCTCACTCAGAATGATGTTCTCCAATTCCATCCACTTATTAGTGAATGACAACATTTCGTTCTTCTTCATGGCTGCATAAAATTCCATTGTGTATAGATACCACATTTTCTTAATCCATTCGTCAGTGGTGGGGCATCTTGGCTGTTTCCATAACTTGGCTATTGTGAATAGTGCCGCAATAAACATGGATGTGCAGGTGCCTCTGGAGTAACAGTCTTTTGGGTATATCCCCAAGAGTGGTATTGCTGGATCAAATGGTAGATTGATGTCCAGCTTTTTAAGTAACCTCCAAATTTTTTTCCAGAGTGGTTGTACTAGTCTACATTCCCATCAACAGTGTAAGAGGGTTCCTTTTTCCCCACATCCTCGCCAACACCTGTGGGACAACATTTTGGAATGGGAACCAGGGGGCAATAGGCTTGGGACTCATTAACATGGAGTTCAATGAGTTCAATGGTTTCCCTTCTTGGGCCCGCTCTAGTTTGATCAGTGTCTTGGGTGGAGGGCATAGGAGCATGGTATTTTTTTTCCCTACCTAGGTAATTCCAATGAGTAGCCAAGTGTACAAGCACTGCCCTGAAGAAACAGAAGGAAGGCCAGTTGAATTTTTGTGGTCCTAAACCTTCCTTTTATATTCTATCAAATTATACTGACTATAGGTAGCTTTCATCCAGGTCGCCTAACAAAGGGAAAGACACTGATCTATTTCCTCAGCTTCAGAGTAGAAGAGACTCTCTTCTTCCAGGTCTATGAGAACATAGTAGGGGATGAAGTAGGAGACAGAAGCCTCCTTGTTTATACACTTAGTAAAAAGATGTTGCCTTGAGTGCAAACAGACCTTGTAGAGAAAGACTATGGAGCTTGACGAATGCCCCCACAGGCCTGTGTGTTACAGGCTTGGTTCCCAGCTTGGTGCTATTTGGCAGGTGACAGAACCTTTAAGAGGTAGGGTCAGTGGGAGGTCTTTGGGTAATTGGGGGCATGTACTTGATGAGGATTGTGATACCTTTGTGTCTTCTTTCTCTTTTTCTTTTCCTGGCCACCAGGTGAGTAGTTTTGCTCTACCATGTGCTCTGGTCATGATATGCCATCCAAAGCATTGTGGCCAAATGATCACAGACTGTAACCTCCAAAACTATTGGCCCAAATAAGCTTTCCTCTTTATAAGTTGGTTATTTGTTACAGTGATGGAAAGCTGACCCACACAAGGATGCTTGCCTGATGAAGAAGAAGTCAGTGGGGCTCCCTTCAGACCCCAGGTGGAGTCCCTTGGGTGTCCCCATACTCACTAAATGGTCCCACAAAACACAAATCAACATCAAAGGCTTTCCTACAGGGTTCGGGGAGAGATGGATGAGAAAGTTACAGTCCTTAGTAAAAACTTGATGTCTCTCCAGACATGTTTAATTTTCTTTCAAATTCAAAGCTTTTCCATCCAAAAATCTCTTGTTGTATCCAGAACACTGGAGCTTTCCTTCTCCTGTCCTTAACTACACTGTAGGACAAACCCCTGACAGTGAGCTTCATGATGCTACATGCCATTCTTTAAGCATGTTCTTTGTATATTGGAGGCAGGGGCAGTTAACCTGCCTCTGTATCTATTAAGAATGTAGAAATAGTTGAAAATCCAAAAGCATATACGTGCACAGGGATCTGTCAAACTTTGGGCATCCATGGTCCCTGTGCCCTCTGATTCTAGAGGCCTACATGTTCTGGCCTGCTTACTTGACTCCTCGCTATCTATTGCCATCTACTCACTGTGTGAAGTGTTTACCTAAAAAGGCTTTTAAGTATCTTAAGGGTAAATCATTCACCTCCTCACACCCTCCTGGGAGCCCTTCCTGCATGTCAGTAAATCCTTTACTTGACATTCTTAGATAGTACTGAACAGCACCACGGTCAATTCTATAAGTGATATGGAAGGGAACTAGAAGGATGAAATCCAGCTAGAATCCGGCACATGGTCCAGCTGTTCCCTCTGCAGAACTGAGGGGAAATCTTTCACTGTACAGCCCAGTACTGAGTCTTTCCTGGCTAGGACAGTGGCAGGAATCATGAGAACCACCACAACAGAGGCAAACACACAGTGAGCATACAATGCCCCAGGCATAGCTGTGAGTGTGTCAATGCATATCACTATTCCACATTGTCACAACAGCCCTGACAAGGTACACTTGCCTTGTCTAGAGACACACAGGTAGTAAGCAATGTAACTACTGAATTTCATACGCACACCTTCTCCCCTCAAGTTTGGTTGGTCCACCTGGTGGCTCTGGCATGAAAAGTAAACAAATTCTACTTCCCATGAGCCTCCAGGCCAGATGGGGAAATGAAAGTGCAGTAGACAGTTTTGAGAAGCTAGTCAGGCATTTGGATGCCAAAGCTGTGTGAGGGATGAGTTAGAGAAACCCTGAGAGGAAACAGAGCCTCCCTGGGGTTGGAGGGGAGAAACATCCACAAAATTCAAAGATTACAGGGCTAGAGTGGGGAAGAGTGAGTGTGGGAAGTAACAGGAGCCACAACATTCAGAAAACTGAAAATAAAACCAAGGGAAACTTCTTTGAGGACATTAATCTGCTGTAGACAGGTGAGGTGGAGGAAAAGAAAGAGCACATCCATTTTCAGGCCTGCACAGGTACCTCTGACTCAAAGTCAATAATTGTGCAAGGACAAGGTCCATGATGAATGATGGTAAGATGACCTGGATCTCCACACAAGGTGGGTGGTGCTGAGCACAACAGAGACTGATCCAGTGTCATATGGGAATAAGACAGTCCCCTTCTCCGGGAAGGTAAGTTTGCTGGTGCATACACTCCACACTCCACCCCTCACTGCAGTTGTCAGTGGGCCTGTGGGGTGCAATTCTGAGCTCAGAGGAGAGCATCGTAGTGTAGGTTAGGAAGTGGTTAGGCTATTGTGAGCTAGATCCCAAAAGGGATCACATATAATTCCAAAGGGATGTCCTGCCCTTTGCTGTCTGACATTATTATCAACTTGTGTGAAAGTATACTCCTAGACTCATTAACATCTTTCTCCATATGCTAGAGGCTGAAATGTGTGTCATTGTCACAGTGGGTTTGAATGGTCCTATATGAAATCTATCCTTAAATGACACACTTGAAACAAGCAGTGAACTGGGTCTTCCCACCTCAGTTTCCCAGGTTTACATTTGCAGTACTGCACCCAAAACCACAAATGCAAGCAAGATGTGAAAAGCAATTTCAATCTTGAATTGTTAAAAAAAAAAAAAAAAACACTGAAGAGGAAGTCTCTGTGCTGCTCAGCAATACTTCTTGAAATCTCTTCATATATTGTATCCACGCTAGCTGCCCCAAACTTCTCCTAGCATCCTTTCTTTCAGTCTTTCCTGAATTTTCTGAAATAGAATCCATAAAGTCTTCATCCTTCTTCCCCTCTACTTAATTTTCTTTCTCATAATTACTCTACTCTGAGCTAATAGCCCTTGTTAGCCCAGTTCCTGGTCACAGTCATTTTATTGATGTCAATAATTGAGGCTTAGCAGCTCAGGCAGCAACAGAGGGGGCAGGGAATGCATTTCCATGGTCTCTAGGGTTTGGATCTTGCTACTATGCCACTATGCTACCAAGGAATTTTCTTGCCAGATAAAATGAAAGGATTTTCCCCTCCATTTTCCTATTTTGCAAGTGCCAGTTGTTTTAGGCCTGGCTCATACCAGGTACCTTGGCATTGAAACAAAGCTGATCCTGCCTGCTACACAGTTGCTCAACAATTCCCTAAATCCAGGTGCTAAACTCCTAAAATGCATATGGAGAACTTGTTTAAAAACACAGATTCCTAGGCTTCTATCCCAACTGTAAAGCCTCAGAATATAGGGCACAGAGCCTAGAAATCTGTATTCTTAACATGCTCAGCAGGTAATTCTGAAAACAGCAATGTTTGGGAATCCATTTTTACCTAATAAATAAAGGTCTGGATTGGCTTCATTTGTATATAAACTTTGTATCAATAACACCTTAATGAGCTGACCCCTAGTGCCATGAGATGTGGGCAAAAGACACAGAAACTGTGGGGACCCAGTGAGTGACTATAGACATAAGCAGGGCAGGAATTCATTTATTTCATGTAATCTGCCCACACATCAATATCGCCTTTCATAAAATGTTAATGGCAATCTAACAGATTAGCAGTAAACAAACTTATATTTTGTTTATTGCTATGACTCAAAAATGCTACCGGTTCTAACTAAATGTCTGTTTTTATGTTCTGTCATTTCTAGGCATGAAAGTAACTCAAACAAACCCCAAGGCATAAGGAAATGGGCCTCGTTCTCTAGGACTCTGCGGCATTGGAAATGAAGCTAAGCAGACTTTATTACATCCTACAATTCGGCAACCTTTTGCAAAGCATTTTATTGCACTTGTGGAAGCCATTGGGGTTATGTTTCAATCATTATGACTGACAGGCTAACTTCAAAACAATGGCATCCACAACCCTGCCACACTTTTTCAGCTATGTACTTAGAATAGAACCTTTTCTAAACTGTCCCTTGGCCTGGATAAAAATAAAAATGGTACTTTAAATATTTATCTTGTGTGCTGACTAACTTAAAAATTGATATTTTGGGACCTCCAAAAGGCATAACCAAGAAAGTCACCGAGAGATGGTGTGGTTCCCGTGAACCAAAGCTTTGTAACTGCAGAGATAAGACTGAGAGAGTTTCCATTTTGGTAGGAAAGATAATAGAACCAGAACGTACTACCTCTCCTTGGCTATGCTGTCCTTCCTCTGCAGGAAAGCAAAACTGAAAGAGATTAAGAAGGCAAACTTAGCTTCAAGAAAACAAATAAAACATGTAATGCAGTCATCAGATGCCTTGACTGAGCTGCTCAAGTGGTAGAAATGTACAGAAAGGGAACAGAGAAAGCTCCCAAGATTTTTTTTTAGGAAGCATGGGAGTGGGTTCTTTCTTTTCTCTGCCATAGTCATGAAAGGGAAATTAAAGTTTACATAAAAAAGCAAAACATACCTACATCATGGCTCCTAATGACTGAAAACAGGATTTTTCTTTTTCACAAAATAAGTCTTTGGGAATCTCCTTAGGCCTATGGCTACACCCCATCCCAACATCATCACCAATGTCAGTTGGATTATTTTCCTGTAATGCTTGAACAAATGAGGGGCTTACAATTATGGTTTATTCATGCCCTCACAGTTCCAGAGGCCAGAAGTACAAAATCTAGCAGGACTGTTGTATCTCTCCCCCACTCGGGGTTGGGGATGAGGGAGGATCTGCTCCATATCTCTCTCCTTGCCTTTCTCTCTGAGCTGCAACAGATGGCTGACTATCCTTGATGATTCCTGGAATCATTCCAATCTCTGTCTCTGTGTCACATTGTTCTTCCTCTTCTCTCTGTCTCTCTCTCCTCAGCATGTCTCTTATGAGAACACTTGTCATTGGATTGTCAAGGACAACTTGGATAATCCAGAATGGTATCTTGGAGATCTCAATATCCTTAATTTAATTATATCTACAAAGTCCCTTTTTCCAAGTAAAGTCACATTCACAGATTCCAGGGATTTGACATGGACGCATATCTCAGGGACCAACATTCAACTTACTTAAGCAGGCATTTGAAACTATACTGTTTCTGATCTGATAGAAGCCAGTAGACTGAGTGCAATTCAATGGTATCTTCTTTAAAATCTTCTATGTCTTGGCCAAAGCTCTATTTATTGGCAGTGCCTCAACTGCTTCTTGAGACCAGGAAGCCCTCCAGTTTCCAAGCATGGTCTAGCCCCTCTTTAGCTGAAAGTATGAAGCATTGTGATCTGAACAGGATGTACTCAGTAAAGTGTTAGTGAGAGAAGACCCAAGGACACTAATCCTTAGAGGGTTGCCCAAAAAAATAAAAATTCTTCTTATACCCTGGAGGCCAAACACCTCCCACCTCAGGTTTAATAACAAAAATTGCCAGATTGCCTGGCCCTTACCTCCAGGGCGAATTCTACATTTCACTCATTGGCTCTGAATCAAAGCAGTCAATAAACAATTATAGGGAATAGTTAGTTGTGTCACACTGCAAAGCTACTTGTGGTTTTGTTTTCCATTTTTGTCTATGCAATTAAAACCCTGAAGAAGATTCCCTTCTGCCTCTTTCTCCATGGATTTCCTCACTTCAGTCTCTTCTATAACATGCATGATTTGGAGGATGACTTTATGTACCTTAATACGTAATCACTGGTGTGACAATATTAAAATGAGGTAGGGTCTTTGAGAGGTAATTAGATTGATCATTTGGGCAGTCTCTTATAAAGAAGCCCTGCTGCATTTCCAGGCCTTTTCACCATGTGAGAACACAATAAGAAGGTGCCATCTAAGAACCAGGAAGCAAGTGTTTGCCAAACACAGTCCAAGATCAAGGACTTCTCAGCCTCCAGAACTATGAGAAGCAAATTTCTGTGGTTTATAAAATACCCAGTTTATAGTATTTTGTTACAGTCGGTGGACTAAGATTTACTATGGATTACAAAGAGAAGGGAAATGGAAGAATAAGCCTAGTATCAGTAAGAATATAGTTTTCTGAATCAATTCTTCCTCATCGCATCTTCCTCATCATCATAAGGATAAATACTACTTCACAAATTATCCATGTAGCAGGCATTATGATAGGAATTTTCAAGAATTATTTCATATAAACCTCTCAATAATTAACCAACCTATTTTTTCCCCTTCTTCTACTCTCTTTCAATTAACAAATACTTATTCAACAGCTATTATATGCCAAGCATGATATATACTAAATTTTGGGGCTACAGTGATGAGCAAAACCATCTGCAAATGCATGTCTTTATAGGAAAGTGTCTCTGTGTCCCCTAAGCCCAGCTGTTTCTCATAAGGCAGGAGAAGGGCACAGCAGACGCCTTAAGAGAGAATGCTTGAGTTTTCCCTGCAGACTAGGCTCAAAAAACACACTTACTTTCTCAGATTGAAATTAAGTGGGGAAACTCAATTTAGGCTACTAAGGCTCAATCTTGGTCAATTTAATGAGCATTTACAAAGTACCCTAGGGGTGACCATCCTGGGGGAGCCCTCAGAACCATTGGGGCTTTTCTGGAGTCTATTTCACCTTGGAAATGTCCCATTATCCTCCTACTCTCTGAGAGTTACAATAACATTTTGAGTACTCTTGAAGAACTCTGCCTAGTCATCTGGCTCAGGGTGAAGATCTCCATCTCCTTTGCTGATTTACAAGGAAGAATCTGAAACAGTGAGCCTCAGTTCCAGAAGAGACTCTGGCTATTGGTTCAAAGTACTCTAGTAAACTGGCCTGCCCACCCAGGCTGCTGTGATTTTATTCTGCCATCTTTCTGACTTTCTTTCCTGCCTCCTTTTCTTTGCTTTCTCTAGTGTTTTCCTTCCTTACTCTTTTTCTTCTCTTTGTCAAAGCTAGACAAACAAAACAAGTTCATAAGCTTGAGGGATGGGCTAAAAGCAGAGGTTCTTCTATCTGTATCACCAGGAGGGTTTGTCAAAACTGATGGTAAGATCCTACCTCTGGATTTGACTGGGGATATAGATCAACTTCCCATGTGGTGCTGATTTTGGTGGGCCAGGGCCCACACTTTGAAAACCACTGACTTAAATGGATTTTTTTTCCAAATTAGTATAATTTATTCTCAATGCAGAATTCAGATTGTTTTTCCAGTCCTGCATTTAACATATTTTAGTCTAGAGGCAACGAACCACAAGTTAAATCCAATCAGGCCACTCAAGCATCTCCAGTAGGTTTTCAGAGTTTGTTAACAGAGCAGAAGTATCTTGTCTAGGCTAATTCAATGATTAGTTTAAATCGATAGTAGATGAATGAAAGCAAAGTGGGGAAGCTATAGCTCACATCAACTTAATAAAATGGTGGTAGCTTCAGCCAAAAGAAGAACATTGGTTTAAAACTGGGCTGAGCAGTCAGGTGTAGTGGTGTATGTCTGCAGGAGGACTGGGAGTTCTACCTCAGTGTGGTCTACATAGTGAAACCCTGTCTCATAAAATAAAACAACAACAAAAAATTAGGTTTAGATGTTGAAGAGTTCAGTGTACCTCTCTTGAGGGAAAAGGAAGGGCTGGCAGAGTGGCTCAAGTAGTGGAGTGCCTACCTAGCAAGCATGAGGCCCTGAGTTCAAACCCCAGTAACACACACACACACACACACACAAAGTTTAGTTGAGGGAAAAGGAGTCACCTATTCTGTCATTGTAATGTGATTATTCAAAAGGACTCTTACAAATGGCCTGACATGGCTGGGTTTCACTGGTCAAAGAAACCCATCTTAAGGCTCAGATGTCATTCTGAACAACTGTCATTCAAATCTGCCTCCCACAACTGTGGCTACCACGCATCACCAGTAAGTCTAGGTTGGAGACATAGGGATGGACAGGTATCTGCATTAAAAAACCCCATGCAGTGGGGCTTCCATTCAAAGTTAAGTACTGTACAAAAGCTACAGACCCATAGCTTTGGAAGTTTGCAGCTGACAAGTCTCAGAGCTTCAGGGGAAGAGAATGGTCTGGAGCTGACATTTGAACTCAGGGCCTCATGCTTGTTGGGCAGGTGCTGTACCACTTGAACCATATCTCCACCCCAGTCCAATGACCTTTTGAGGCAGGTAGCACTAGCCTATTTTATGAACAATGAAAATGAAATGTCACCCAAGGTGACATCATTAATGATGATGATTATGACAATAAATAATAGCACTTAATATGTACTGAGCATTTATCATGAATTATGTTTGAGGCATGTTTTCTAGGTGCTCTGTATTAGTAACTCATCCAGACTTCGCATCAACTCTATGTGTAAGTTCTATTATTATCCTATTTTACAGATAGGAAAGTTACAACACAAAGGATATGCAATTTTCCCATGGTTACGCAGTTAGGAGGTCAGAGTTTGGATTTGAATCAAGATAGTGTGAATTCAAAATCTATGATAACACCTTCCCAGCTGAAAAACAAACCCAAACTGACCAAATGCCATCTCCCTGCTGCCCTGATCCTTCTCTGGTAGAAAAAGCCTGGTAGGTCTCTTTCAGTCAATGCTAACGCTGAAGCTAAAGCACCATCTTTATCCCTCTGTAAAGCTTGGCCTTGTGTGTTCAGAGACCCCTGGCCATCTAGCTTCAAGGGAAGGTAGACCTACTTTGGAATGAGCCCAAGACAAGATCTGTCATTGCACCAAGGGAAGTTTCTCCAAACTTCTGTCCTTTTCAACCTTTTTCATCTTCAACAATTTTGCTATACCTGCATAATACCTGTCTTATTTACTCATTATTTTTCTTTCACTCAGTTTTCCTTTTTACTTACATTTGTTCGATAAGAAGGAAACTTACAATTATTACAGCAAATGGAAAAACCAGTCTCCCTTGCCATAAGTAGAAGCTAGCAGTGAAGATGAAATCCATGAAAAAAATGGAGCCGGGGACATTATTAAACTCTGGCTAGGTATGGCTGAAAGCGCTGCTCAGAGGTCTGTCTTCTCATTTCAT